GAATATGTTTAGGAGCATGATAAGTTATTTCTGAGTCAATGTGAGGTGAAGCTCTTAGGATAGTTATGTACATTTTGAACAGAGTTCTTAATAAGTTGGTTTCATTAACTCTATTTGAGTAATGGATTGACTAGTAAAAAGCCTGATATTTATATATTTGAGGGTGTCATGTAGAGATAAGAGTATTTAATCCACATAAAAAGAAAGTAGATCCAAGAACTATTTCTGGATATTTAATTGGTTATCCAAAAAAATCCAAGAGATACAGATTTTATTGTCCTAATCATAGTACGAGGATTAGAATCTAATAATACAAGATTCCTAGAAAATGAAAAAAATTAATGGGGGTGAAAAATCTTGAATGATCAATTTTGATATTGAGAAGATTTAGGTTAATTCTCCCGTATCATCTCCTATTCGAAAAATTATTATTCCTCAAATCATTGACAAAATTGATGAGAGTAAACAACAAAATAACATCGATAAACTTTAACACGACATTGATGTTATATTTGATGATCTTGTAAAACAATCACAATTGACAACTTTGAAAAGATCTCAAAGGAAAAGAAAACATACCATTTCTGATGATTATCTAGTATATTTGCAAGAATCTTATTATTATATATGAATAAAAGAGACCTCTTATCACGGGTCATAGAAAGTAACGATTTTAAAAAATGGTATAATGCAATGAAAAAAAGTTAAAATCAATGGTCCAGAATGGTGTTTGGGAACTCATTGAATTGTCCAATAATTGTAAAAGAGTCGATTGTAAATGAGATTTTAAGGTAAAATGTGACTTAGTAGGTAATATCGAATAATATAAAGTCAAACTTGTGATCAAAGGTTTTTCTCAGAAAGAAGGTATCGACTACAATGAAACTTTTTCTCTAGTTTCTAGAAAAAACTCGTTGAGAATTATTATAGCATTAGTAGTTCACTATGATCTTGAGTTATACCAGATGGATGTTAAAATAGTATTTCTGAATGGGGATCTGGGTAAGAAAATCCATATAGAATAACTTGAAGGATTCATAGAAAAGGGAAAAGAAAGTTGAGCTTGTAAACATAAGAAATCCATTTATGACCTTAAACAAGCTTCCAGACAATGATATGTAAAGTTTTATGATATCATTACTTCCTTCGAATTTAAGGAAAATACTATTGATCAGTGCATATATATGAAGGTCAATGGGATTATTATATTAGTCTTATATGTGGATGATATTTTACTTGCTAGTAGTGATCTTGGTTTATTGCACGAAACCTTGATATTTCTTAGCAAGAACTTTAAGATAGTTGATATGAATAAGATAAACTATGTTATTGGCATTGAGATATTCAGAGATAGATCTCAAGAATTATTATGATTGTCTTAAAAAGAATATATTAATCATTAAGAGATTTAATATGTAGTTTTGCTTAGTTAATGATATATCTATTACTAGAGATAAAAAATTTAACCAAAATCAATGCCTGAAAAATGACTTACAAAGGAATCAAATGAAGAATATTTTTTATCGGTGTATAATTGGAAATCTATTATATGCTTAAACATGTACAAGATCATATATTAATTTTGTAGTTACAATGTTGGAGATCAAATTAGCTTGAAGTGACGAGATATTCAGATGTTGATTTTGTAAATTACTAGGAAGTTCACTTCAGGATTTGTATTCATGTTAGTTGGTGGGGTAATTTCTTGAAAAAGTACAAAGTAATCGCTTATTACATCATCAATAATGGAGGCTGAATTTGTGGCATTCTTTGAGGCCACAAATCAATCTTTATGACTGTGAAATTTCATCTCAAGACTTGGTGTGGTCGACTCAATTGTTAGGCCACTAAAGATATTTTGTGATAATATTGTAACAATATTCTTCTCTAAAAATGGCAAGTGCTCTAGTGATTCCAAGCACATCAAGATAAAATACTTGGTGGTTTGAGAAAGAGTCCAGAAACAACAAGTGTCAATTGAGAACCTGAGCACCATTATGATGATTGTTGATCCATTTACTAAAGCTTTACAGTGTAAAATATTTAAAGAACATATTCATAGAATGAGATTTATGAGCAAGCCATAAAAGATATAATGATGTATGTTTAGGTGGATGCTATTATTGATATTTATTTTACATGATTAAAATTATTTATTTATGTTATCCTGTTACATTTATGTTTACGTATATTATAATTTAATGTAATAATAGGATTGTCCAAGATAAATTACATGGGTCATTATGGATTATATTAGGAAAGACTAATAATGTTATGGTATAGAGAAGTGAGTATGACATTGATTATATATAATTGCTATGACTCGTAGTAATAGTTGGACTTAATATAATATTATTATATTTATTGAACTTATTGACTTATTTTTTAAAATTCATGGTTGTATATAAAATGCTTTTCAATTTTTTTTTTGGAATCTAATTAGGTAAAAAAATTTTAAATAAATTTTATTTTATTTATTTTGATTTTGAATATCTTTTATATTTTATCAATTATTCGGTCAAGTAGGAGAATGTTAGATTATGTAACCTTATATAATTGGATAAGACATATAATAGAACTAATTGGATTCGGATAACAGATATTGTCTAATAGAAAAGAAGATTATATTAAAGTATGATTCCTAAGGGGATGCCCTTGATGGGAAGAACTCTCCTAATAACTTATCTTAGACCCTTTGCTCTCGCTTATAAATAAACAGGACCTCTAGGAGCTGTAGGAGAGCATATATATGACATCACATACGCAGCAAAAGAATATAAAATTAAAATCTCAAATTTTCATAAAAAGGTTTCATCGTCGTGCGAAGATTGGTGCGTAAAAACCTGCGAAACTAAAAACCACATGTGAGATAGTTGTGTTACTTAGGGAGATCGTATATCCCTAAATTTCTATAGATATATGGGAGAGGATGAAGGAGAGAGGAGAATAAGAGGTGACAACTAAGAAGCCTAGCCTATGGTCATTTGATTTTCTCCTATTTATGAAAGCCCCTTGTCAACTTAACTCTAATGGATCATGCCTTATTGAGTATTGAATCTCTATCCAATTATTATAGCCTCTTAGATTAGTGATCTTATTCTTTTTATTGAATATTATCTATAAGATCCAATAATTCATGAGCTTATTGGATATCCAATAAGATAGAGGCTCTAGCGGATATTTCATATCTGAACCTTTACTCGTCGCAACACCTACCATATGTGTGTGACCCTCTAGGCCTAATATCAAGCTAGTCATGAGTCATATCTGTCAGAATTCTTTTTGGCTCAATGAATTATTATCTTCATAATAATAGTATATCATTATCTTCATAATAATTCACTCGACTCATTGACTACGGACATATTAGGCCACTACGTTGTAGTCCCTAAACGATATAGGGGGGAATCCAATCCTTTAGACCTATCTGTCCTCAGTTACCGTATACTTATAGTCCCTTATGCATCTAATATCCCAGAGACCGTATATTGAGCATAGTGCTATCAAACCCATATAGTTTTCCACGAGTCTCACTCTAATCAGATTCTCTCGGAGAACTATTTTTTTCTTAATCCAAATGACCTTGACTAAGGATTTGTTTGAGCAAGAATATATGAGATATTCCTCTCATGATATTGAGAGCAGATGATCCTCTATCGACACTCAATAACCCTCATAAAGTTGACTGTCACTTTTGATGATCGATTGTAATAGATCTAAAACTTTCAAACATACAAATCCAGTATCAAAGAATGGAGTACTTATACAGGACAACCTTAATGTCTCAAGTCTAAGGACTAGCTACACCACTAGGATGACGGAATTGTTGTTTGACAATGAGGTATCATTAACCATCAAGCGTTCCGTGATTGGATCAATCAATGAAACTTATAAGTCTGGTATCAAAAAGTGGAGTACTAATACAGGACAACCTTGGTGTCTCAAGTCTAAGGACCAGCTATACCACTAGGATGACGGAATCGCTGTTTGACAATGAGGTATCATTGCTCTGTAGCCATAATGTCCCCCACACGAGCAACTATAAGACTAGCCGCCTCTATCATATTGACATGTATACAGCACACCAGTCTATCTGGTTATCTCGATATCTTTCTTAAATAATCTATGATTATGATTATTTAGGGTCTATGTTTAAAAGTGAATCGGTCTCATTATCGTGATCTCATCATGATTCGATTCTTATTGCACAGATCCATTGACATCATAATATATTTATACATCAAGCAATATAAAGTAAAAAAATATAATAATAATAATAATAATAATAATAATAATAAGCAAAAAAATTGCATGTTATATCTAAGTGTCATCACTCACATGATTGACTTACAGGATATCTATGACTAATAGAGACCATTTGATTGAGATATTATAAATTTTCTCTTAACTTTCCTAAATCATCAACCTCGTAACAATGATTTTAGATCTATAGACAATACTTTTACATATTACAAAGATCATTTTCAGATGATATATCAAGAGGTATGTATCGTAAAATCGATCTAATGTTATTTGATTTTAATCCTAACATAAAAATTTTTCTACATTACATGTTATATAACAGCCTTTGTGTTCCAATGACACAATATGTAATGGTTCCTTGTATTTTAAATTATCAAGTATTATAAGATATCTAGTGATGTCATGATCAACAATGCAAATTACACTCTCAAACCGGTGTTCCTTTTAGTTGTTGATGGCACATGTAGATCATTTTCAGATGATATCAAGAGGTAAAAGTATCGTTAAATCGATCTAATATTATTTGATTTTAATCCTAAACTAATTTTTTTTTCACACTATATAATACACTCTCAAAACGGTGTTCCTTTTAGTTGTTGTTGATGGCATTTGTTACAGTTGTCGCAAGTATGTGGTTTTGGCAATTCTACTGAAGACGAATTAAAAGTGTGATAGGATCCGTTTTAAATTATTATGTATTGTAGAATTATTTAGTGATGAGATATTCACAATGCAAATTAAACATTGGCAAGACGATGTTCTCTTTTAGTTGTTGTTGATGACGTATGTTACGGTGGCAGTTATATTGAAGACATGATGACGAATTAAGGGTGATGACAAATTACACATTGGCAAATTACACATTAAGGGTCATCATGTCTTATATCAACAACTAAAAAGACAACACCGGCTGGCTGCAGCACACAGACCATACGTCTATTGGTGTTGCAAGAAGCTGCCTTCCATTTGAGATCGACTGCCTAATACTCGTCTGCCTCGTCGTATTCCTCACCTTCCGCCGACTCCGCCCCCACCTCCTCGTAGTCCTTCTCCAGCGCCGCCAGGTCCTCCCTTGCCTCCGAGAACTCCCCCTCCTCCATCCCCTCCCCCACGTACCAGTGCACGAACGCTCTCTTGGCGTACATCAGGTCGAACTTGTGGTCGATTCTCGAGAACACATCCGCCACGCTGGTGGAGTTGGAGATCATGCACACGGCTCGCTGCACCTTGGCCAGGTCCCCGCCCGGCACCACCGTCGGCGGCTGGTAGTTGATGCCGCACTTGAACCCCGTGGGGCACCAGTCCACGAATTGGATGGTGCGCTTCGTCTTGATGGTGGCCACCGCCGCGTTCACGTCCTTGGGGACTACGTCACCCCGGTACATGAGGCAACAGGCCATGTACTTGCCGTGCCGCGGGTCGCACTTGGCCATCATCGACGACGGCTCGAATGCGCTGTTCGTGATCTCCGCCACCGACAGCTGCTCGTGGTAGGCCTTCTCCGCCGATATTACCGGCGCGTAGGACGACAGCATGAAGTGGATCCTCGGGTACGGCACCAGGTTCGTCTGGAACTCCGTCACGTCCACGTTAAGCGCTCCGTCGAAGCGCAGCGAAGCCGTCAAAGACGAGATCACCTGTTTCGATTGCCAACTCAAATCATTAACAGCCACAGGGTTATAAAACTCGAAACGGGCAGCGCGAGAGTTGTTTGTTAAATTGCCTGAGAGACGAGGCGATTGAGGTTGGTGTAGGTGGGGCGCTCGATGTCAAGAGAGCGGCGGCAGATGTCATAGATCGCCTCGTTGTCGAGGAGCACTGCGACATCAGTGTGCTCAAGGAGGGAGTGGGTTGAGAGGACGCTGTTGTAGGGCTCGACGACAGAAGTGGAAACCTGAGGCGAAGGATAGACGGTGAATCCCAGCTTCGACTTCTTGCCGTAATCGACCGAGAGCCGCTCGAGAAGCAGGGATCCCAGTCCAGACCCTGTGCCGCCACCAACCGCATGGAAGACCAAGAAGCCCTGGAGGCCGGTACAGTTGTCTGCCAGCTTCCGGATGCGGTCCAAGCACAGATCCACGATCTCCTTCCCAACTGTACCACAGCAGTCATCATCACCAACTCATCAAAGAAAGAATGGATTCATGATTCGGTGGGCAACGAAAGATGGTGGTAATTACTGGTGTAGTGGCCGCGGGCGAAGTTGTTGGCCGCGTCCTCCTTTCCGCTGATGAGCTGCTCAGGGTGGAAGAGCTGGCGGTAGGAGCCAGTGCGGACCTCATCGATCACGGTGGGTTCGAGGTCGACGAACACGGCGCGGGGGACATGCTTCCCGGCCCCGGTCTCGCTGAAGAAGGTGTTGAAGGCATCGTCTACTCCGCCAACCGTCTTGCCGCCGGGCATCTGGCCATCCGGCTGCAACCGAGAAATGGACATCATGATTTGCAGAGGAACAACAAAAGGAGAAGCAGAAGGGACGATGGGGGAGAGGGAGAGCAGCGAGACCTGAATGCCGTGCTCCAGGCAGTAGAGCTCCCAGCAGGCGTTGCCGACCTGGATACCAGCCTGGCCGATGTGGATGGAGATGCACTCTCTCATGTCTGATGGCTGCCTTGTGAGATGTGGAACGAGAGACTATAATGGAAGGCTTTCTGGTTTTCACAGGGGCAACAGGGCTTATATAGCAGAAGAGAGGGAGGGGGCTGTTGGAAACGGGCGGTGGAATTCTTTCATGACCGTTTTTCTGACCGTTTTAGTGTTTGAAATTTGAAATTTGTGTTTGGGATTTAGTGTCCATTGTTTGTTTTTATAGCGAGCTCATATACTGCAACAGTACGCCATCAATATGATTCGGATTCGGAGTGTGTAACAGATTTGGGCCACGCAAGTCACTTACCTATAGCGTAATATTAATAAAATAATAATAACTATATTAAATTTATTTTTCAGCATAGTATTCTTAATTTTGATTATTATTATTATTGGTAAAAAACTCGTTTTTTGAACTTACCTCAAGAGGTACATTTTTTAATATTTTCTAAAGGATGGTCCCTATTTATCATAATTCCTGAAATATTTTTTTGATAAAATAACTAAATCAATACTTGATTATCTTATACATCCGTTCATAGAGTGAACGGTCGAACCCCTCAATTACAGTGTTTTTAAATTAACCTATTTAAAAATACTATAATTAACTTAAAGATCTTTTTATTTATTTTTATTCATAAATTAATAAAAATAATAATTTATTTAAATTTTTATATTTATTTGAATTAGTTTAAGCTGGGTTTTTAGTACATTTGTTATATTTTTTGGTAGATGTGTCAAAAACTATAAATCTATTCAAAAATACTATACATGATTTTATAAATCTTATACAAAGGATCGGACATATTCATAACATAATGGCAACTAAGTTCACCTTGTGCATCCATCTATAATGTACTTATTTTAGTTATCGAGGATATTTTCAAAATTATTATAAATAAGCATCATTTGATAAATATGAAAAGGTGCATCTTGAAAAAAAAAAGAAGCATTTTTAATATCCATATTTAGTTTGATTCTTTTTATGGAACTAAACTTATAGGTAGTAAAATTAGTTCAATCGACGAGAAGAAGTGGGCTACAATTTGATCCTTGTGTTTTTTTTTTTGTGCTTTCGTCGCTTTTGTTCTATGGTAAATGTAAGATAATCACGAGTGAATTTGACGACATAGAAGAAAAAAAAATTAGGACGTTGGAAACTCAATAAGATTTGAGAATGATAAAAGCACTAGGACCACGAGGATTTGAGAAGACAGAGACGCTACAAGGAGGCGAAGGCAATAATAAGTCTAGTGGAGATAGGAGTAAAAATAATATTTTATATAAAAAAATATTTGTGTGAGAATTTTAAAAGTTAAAATACTATACAAAATTTCATAAGACTAGAAATCTTTTTAAAAATTCATCTTAAATAACATAATATATTTTTTAAAAAAATATATATTTATATACTGAACTCAAGACCTATCATTTTTTATAATAATACACTAACAGATATCTTCAAAAATATACTATTGATTACTAAACATCAGCTGAAAGCTAATAATAATAAGTTTAGAGATCGAGTCGTGTGCCAGAAAAGTGATCCAAATTAGTGCTAAACAATTTATTCATTCACGCCACTCGAGTCTTGACAGGGAACCCGAGCGAGTCAGACCGAATCGGTTCAACCCGACACTGGAGTCGTATATTTTAGGAAGCCGTGGGATCGGATTTCCGCCGACTACTAGGGTTCTTGCGGACGTTGTCTCGGTTCGGGAAGCTTTCGAGAGCAGGGCGGAGGGAGAGTGGGTTGAGAGAACGCGAGCGAGATCGATGTACAAGAAGAAGGCGTCCGTTCTTACCATCCGTTCACTCTCCGTTCTCTCCAAGGTCAGTTCCCGCTCACATCCCCCTTTTCCCCCTCTTTTGCCCTCCTTCCCTTTTGGGACTTCTTACGAGAACCTCGCGCGTGCCACAAAGGCGCCGCCTTTGATCCGGCAGTGGCGGTGGCTAAGCACAGCCGCGCAACGAAACGACTTCCCGCCTGACTCTCATGACGGTCGTGAGGCTACCGGTGAGCCTTGCTCCAATCTTGGTCGGTCTTCCCCCTCTGGTCGCTATCAGAGTTCCAACTGGTGCCACGGAGGAGAGCCGGGAGGAGTTCGGCTGCAAAATCCAGAGTGGTTGAAGGTGCAGAATGGAAATGGTTTCTCCGGGGTGGTCGAGCATCAAAGGTCGAATCTTGGGGATACTTGTGACGGAAAACCATACGGTTCTTACAGGGACAACCAGATGACTGGAAATGGTAGTGATAGATCAGTTGCTTGTGGCAGTGAATGGAGAACCAATGGCGAATCGTTTCACAACCCCAATAGTCCCTCCCAGGGGAACTATTCTGGAGCTTTTGATCAGAATTCGAATGATTTCATTAGACACCACACAGTCGGCAGCAGCAAACCATGTCCAAGTTGGAATAGCCAGATTAGGAATGGGGAATTCTGCCAAAATCCTAACAGTCATAATGGAAAGGTCCATCAAGAGGATCTTTTCCAGAGTCCAAACATTGCTAGTGACTACAAGCCTGTAGTAAATGCTGAATCATATCAAAATGTGAATGACTGGAGTAGAAGTGGGAAATTTTATCAGGACCCTAATCGACAGTATGATGGGAACTGTCAAGTGACCTTTGGAAAGAATTTAAATGTTGCTACAGGACACCATATGATGGGAAATGGTAAACCATATGCAATTGAGGATGATAGGAATACAAAGAGAGAGCCTCATCAAAATTTTAATGACCAGTACAGAGGGAATTATCAAGGTAGTTTTGGGCAAAACCCAAATGTTGCTGCTGTTAATCACACAGTTGGAGGTGGTGAGCTATATTACAGACCAGACAGAGGATTTCAGCAGCAGCCTGATGCACATTATGGATATAATCCAGGGAATATTCATCATCATCCCAGTTCTTATAGTACAGAGAATCCAGAAGGTGATTTTTCAAGTAACCAACAAGGAATTTATTCAGGTAGAGCAGCAGATATTCGTCAGACACCTAATGTTTTTTATAAGGAAAGGCCTGTCGACATTCAGCATGACCCATTTGGAAATCAAAGAGAGGATTCTCCAGTGCTTCATCAAGGTTCTGCTTTCTCTCAGAATGCTGCAGGATATGATCAATCATTAAAATGTTTGCAATCTACTATTGGATCAGCTCATGAAGGATCTCCTGAAACTGGTAGTTCTAGTACATACAAGGGTACAATTGAAGAGCTGGATGATTTTTGCAGAGAGAAAAAAGTAACAGATGCTGTGAAAGTGCTGGCTTTGCTTGAGGAGAATGTTGTTATGGTGGATCTCCCAAGGTACTTAAAGTTGATGCAAGCATGTGATAGTGATAAGTTTCTTGAAGAAGCAAGACAAGTACATAATTGCATTTCACGAAGATTTGTCAATGTTGAGGTTGGAGTTCATAACAAGATTTTGGATATGTACTTCAGATGTGGTTCGTCAACCGATGCTTTCCAGCTTTTTGATAATATGCCCCAGAGGAATTTGACAACATGGGATACTATGATAATGGGTCTTGCAAATAATGGGCTTGGAGAGGATGCAATCGATCTGTTCACTCAGTTTAAACAGAAGGGATTGAAGCCAGATGGCGGTTTGTTCGTCTCCATTTTTTCTGCCTGTGGTTCTTTAGGAGCTGTTGATGAGGGGTTGTTGCACTTCGAATCAATGAAGAAGGACTTCAGTATTGTTCCTAGCATGGAACATTATGTTAGCATTGTAGATATGCTTGGAAGAACTGGATATTTGGATGAAGCTCTTGAATTCATTGAGCAGATGCCTGTTGAGCCAAGTGTTGATGTTTGGGAAACATTAATGACTCTTTCTAGACTTAATGGAAATTTGGAGCTTGGGGACCAATGTGTGCAGATTGTTGAGCGCTTAGATCCATCTAGGCTAAATGAACAGTCTCGTAAGGGTCTTCTGCTTGTTAAAGATTCAGACTTGGCAAAAGAGAAAGAAAAGAAAAAGACTCTTGAAATTAGGAGCAGGGTTCATGAATACAGGGCAGGAGACACATCTCATCCTGAAAATGACAAGATTTACGCACAGCTAAGGTGTTTGCAACGTCAAATGAAAGAGGCTGGATATGTACCAGATACACGATTTGTTCTGCATGATGTTGATCCAGAATCCAAGGAGGAAGCTTTGCTCGCTCACAGTGAGAGACTGGCTCTTTCTTATGGCCTTATGACTACCCCAGCTCGGACAAATATTAGGATCATGAAAAATCTTCGTGTTTGTGGAGATTGCCATAATGCTCTGAAGATCATATCAAAACTCGTTGGCCGTCTAATCATTGCACGAGATGCTAAGAGATTTCATCATTTTGAGAAAGGAGTCTGCTCTTGCAAAGATTATTGGTGATTATGACATGTATGTTTCTGTCAGAAACCGAGCTATTTTATAATATTTTACTTTTAAATATTTGACAAATCTAGCAAGTGGTAAACGTGGGAAGATTTTTATGGTTCCTTGTGTCATTTACAAGAAGTTCTCAATACATCACGACTATAGATTCTTCTTTTGATAAAGATCCCACATGTACATGATTAGTTGTCTTATCTTTTATGAGATATTTCTGCTTAGTTTGGTCTAATTTGTTTTAGTGATGTCTCTGTGGATTAGCCATATAAACATAGATGTTCTTTTGGTATATTCACATGACTATTTGGACCAACCATAGTATTTATTATGAGTTCTCTCACCCTGCTTTACATTATTTTCACAAGCTGTTTTTCAGTATCCTACTTTGGCTGTTTATATTATTTAGATTGCACTTGAAGATTGATGTTACAAAATAGCATGCCACCAATGAATGTTTGAACTTGGAAGTTTTTCCAATTGTACCCATCTCAACTTGACTTGCCAATTTGCTTAATGAGTCTCATTTGGTTGGCTTATGCCAGAAGCTGATCAGAATTGATTAATTTTTGGCCAAGTATCATATCTAGTGAAGAAGAGAAATATTAGCAATAGCTGACTTCCATCAATAGTCTTGAAGAAGGTGGTGAAAATGAGAGAGAAGTGACTCAACTGCTGCTACTGCATCATTGCCATAGAGAGGGTCATAGAGCCAGAGTATCATAGGAACCTATGACCAACTCTTTTGCTTTCTAAGAGAGAGGGGAGTGGATAGAAGAGATGAAGACTAGAAATATAAAATTGATATAAGCTTCAAAATAATTTTAGGAGTGAAGTTTATAGTATAAAATATACAACAGCATTATGATCTAAAATACTCAGAAATATATAATCGTGTATATAACTTTTCTAGACTCTACATTAGATTCTTATACACCCTATTTTAAGCTTGAATCCTTTTAGGCTTTATTCCTGTATTTTGGGATATGATGTTGACCATAGTAGGTACCAAAAATCTATCAGATTAATGAATTATAGACTTTGCCACGGAACAAAGTGGACAAGGAGATTGTTGGGATATATATATATATTTCTTAATTGATAATAAAGTATTTCGTTGATAAATTTAGTTAAAAAGTTTGGCCAATTCAAAAATAATTTCCTATCTAAAATCTTTTTTTTGAAAATAAAAAGTTTTATATAAAATTAATAATTGGTTGCTTTGTGGGTCCATACATATATATTTTTTTTCTTTTTACATATCATGCGAGAATAAAAAAATACTTGGATCACTTTGGAATCAGATCATGGTTAGCTTGAGCAGTTTATATTTCTTGTAACATGATTTTTCTCATACAATGAAAATTTTGATTCGCTCTCTGTGGAACATGAACAATGGGAAAACCTCAAGTATCATCTTTTATATATATGTTTGATTTGTTATTTAATTATTTTGATCATTTATTTGGAACCAGAGCATATATATTGATCAGAGTTTTCTCCCCTGCCAAGAAGCTACCTCGGTCTAACATACTGATTTAATGCGGGCAACAGTGTGTACAGTCTACGCTGAAGAGGGGAAATCCTGCAACTCTCAAAGTGCAAGTTTGTTGGACCTCACATTTGACAAGCCTTAGGTCGTTGTCCTCTGCCTCTTCTTCTCAACTCCGCCTGCAGTGCACAATCCCCAGAGAAGTGCTTGCTAGGATTTGAGAAGGTTTTCTTGGGGTTTAAGATTGATGCTTGTGAGGACCTGAGTGTTTGTGGATGCGCTGTGAACTGAAAGGTCATATGTGGAACTTGAAACACTCAATGAGCTTGAAGTGCCATGAGCGCAGTTCTGGGTTTCAATGCTTCCTGTGGGAATAGCCGGCACCCAATTTTTTCTGATTTCCGCTATACAAAATCGTAACTTGGAATTCATGATCATTCCCTTTACTATGATGGAGTAGATTGCTCTGGTTTTATAGGTGTTTATGGTGTATGTCGATGATGCAAAGTGGCCAAGCATAAATTTGGAAGTAATCATCGCTACATTGCAGTATATAGGGAACTGAGTAGCTCTTTGTATTCCATTATGGTTCCCCCCATGTTAGAAAATGGTTGTGGTCATTGAATTTTAGTATATCGATCCAAGCTCAAAACGTGGGCCACATGTAATCTTGCAGACAAGTTGATGTGGTGACATACTGTACATTTTTATATTAAGTATATCCGATGGGATAATTATAGATTATCTCTCATAATTAATTATGATTAATATTTTGATTCTTATACTTCAAAAAATAATATTGAGATCTCGAAAGTGAAACATTTAATTCAAATTTTTTTCATGTTGTTAATTTCGTTGGTGGAAAAAATTGTACGTGTTGTCATGTGCAAAACATATATGAATAAAAAATAAAAAAAATAATTTTATTTTTTTAATTATTAATTTTATATAAACTTCTCGTTTGCAATGTGGAGGCGCACGAGGTCAGTAGCATTCTAGAGGAGATTTGAGCATTGCCTATGATCGTGATCGATTTTTTCCTCTCCTCTTTCGAACTTGTTTGCCCATCGCCCCTCTTGATATTGTTCGCTTGCCACACCTGTTTACTTGTTGCCCCTCCTCATTTGTCTCACCTGCTCTCTCGTTGGAGACAATCGTGTTTGTTAGAGCTAGCCCCAGGATATTTACCAAAGGATAATTTTGGCAACACAACAAAGATAATAAAGCGGAAAGAATAAAGCGACAAGAACAAACAAAACACCAGAACACCAGATATACGTGGTTCGGTCAATTGACTTTGACCTACATCCACGGAAGAAAGAAGAGCAAATTACTACTATAAAAGATGGACACTTACAAATGCCTTAGAAAATGTTCCTAGGCCATAAAACACCTTCAACTTCCTAAACAAGAAGACTTCAAACCATAAGCAGGTTTTCTTGTGATGCCTGCTGTACTTCTTGTGGTGTCTGTGGTACTTTTTGTGGTGTGTCTAACTTCAAAGCTCAGGCCCTTATTTATAGTTCCAAGATGAGACAACAAGTCTAATTTTCCCGATGTGGGACTATGGGACTTGCCAAACTAACAAATCTCCACCTTGGCATGTCCCAACAAAACTTGCTCCACCTTCTTCACAAAAGCCCCAACGGGCAATCACCAACAATAAACACCAACCAAGTCCAAGCACTGCTTGAACTTGTAAACCGGAACATGCTTCGTAAGCATATCAACTGGATTGTCCTTCGTATAAATTTTCTGAACAAGGACCTTTCCCTCAGCAATCAACCACTTAGCGAAATTATCAAAAGAAACTGCATCTGAATAGGTAGTAGGCTCACCAACTTCACTTGTCTCTTTTGCAACAGACAAAGCATATACAACCGAATTTGCATACCTTTGTGGTGGT